CGCGCCGAGTTGTTTTTCCGGACTATAAACATAATTAAAACTACTGTAGTAATCGCGAATTAAATTGACAAGCAATTTTAATAATTTGACAATACAATCAAGCATATATTATAAAGACGTTAATATGTTGAAAAACTATTAATAAATTTATTGCGAAAGTTACCTCTGCCGGAACTTGAACCTGGACCTCTTGTACAAGCGTCCTAAGCCATTAAATTACCGAGGCAACAATTCGGAGCAATTCGAAAAGACTACAATATGGTATATATGCAAGCACATATACAAGATGTATAAAAAGTCCCGGACCCCTTAAATATCTTGAAAAGTAATCATTTTTGAGAAAAATGTTTTATACAAAAGATGTAGGGTTGAAAATTCTCTATTGACTGACCTTATCAATTTGACCTTGGATGATGCCATCAAGGTCAAGTCAAGGTCAAATCGATTTTTTTAAACGAAACACCCTATTTTTGATTCTAGAATCTAATAGCTGAGGTTGGGAGCTTTCCAAAACACCAATAAAGTCTTTTTTTAATCAGTACTTTTCAAGTTATGACAGTTGAAAGTTATGGAACCGCCGCGGCATTAGCATTACCTAAGCTAAGATGATCGTATTTTATTATTATATCCATTTTAATCCATAATCCATTTTATTATTATATCTTTGTTTATTTGTTCTGGTCTTATTCTAGAGATATCAATTTTGCATGTGATAAGTTAAAAATATGTTTTCTATTCAGAGATATAACTTGACGAAGTTCCAGATCCCGGTGGAGTCTAGCCGAGAAAGTAATTAAAAACTGATAGATAAGGCGAGTTGGGTTAAAGGAACGACAAATGCTCAAACGAATGACAGTTGATTTAGATATACCATTGTCTTTATTTCTAAAAAATTGATTGAAAAGTCTTGTCGCTTGCGTTAGATCTCCTATGACCACCCTATCCTCGCATTATTAAAATGGATACGATCATCTTAGCTTAGGTAATGCTAATGCTGCGGCGGTTCCGTAACTTTCAACTGTCATAACTTGAAAAGTACTGAATAAAAAGAAGCTTTATTATAGTGTTTTGGAAAGCTCCCGACCTCAGCTATTAGATTCTAGAATCAAAAATAGGGTGTTTCGTTTAAAAAAATCAATTTGACCTTGGTGGTACCATTCAAGGTCAAATTGATAAGGTCAGTCAATAGATCATTTTCAACCCTACATCTTTTGTATAAAACATTTTTCTTAAAAATGATTACTTTTCAAGTTATTTAAGGGGTCCGGGATTTTTTATACACCCTGTATAGTATACAGGGTGGACCATCTGAAGTGATCCAGTCAAATATCTCGAAAACTAGTAGGGATAGAGAAAAATGTTTCGTATGAAAAGTTTAGGGTTACACGGGGGAAGTATGGTACTGACCTTGAAAAATCCT